GGAAAGAGGGCTTTTCAAAGAAACCTGATCAACGGACAACCGCTTCGCACCGTAATTTCAGGGAGTACCCGTCTCTTACGAAGGACACTGTTGGGTAAGGGCAAACGGAAGCGAAGAAATCGAGTGAGGTTCCTAAACAACGCACTGATATCACACGGGCGTTTGAATTACGGAAGCCGCAAATCTGCTACAACTGCGAAAAGGAAGGGCACATCGCGATAAACTGTAAGCAACAGTTTGTTTCGTAACGATCCGAGAATCGTAAAAGAACATGCGGTTGTTACAGCCATATCTCTAAGAAATTAGTGTGAATGGGAAAACGTGTCGAGCACTTTGAGACTCAGTGGCAACCATGGACGTTGTCCGTCCTTCATTGGTGTCTCCGGATGACTTTACAGGAGAATGCGCGTGGATCAGGCAAGTCGGCGAAGCGCAGAATGCTTGCTTACCAATCGCTACAGTTGTCATTGAAGGCTCGTTCGGTAAGCTTCGCACCGAAGCGGCTGGGTCTGCCACGCTTCCCGATTGTTTTCCTGATCTTTTCTCTAATAACTCCGAGCAGCTTCTCAATCAAAGACCAGGGTAAATTGTTCTTCTCTAATTTAGCGTACATGGACCTCACGCGATCGCAAGCGCGGAAGCTTTCGCAGGAACTAGATCTTGTTCAGTGTGGTCTAACACCACCTGCAAAGCCTGCTGATCTGCGTGACCTTGGCGGCGAGTCGACAGAACCTCAGACAGGAAATTTTCTGTGTGAGTCATTTGAGCAGTCACTCGAGTGGTCCGTGGCCGAAGCGACCGGTGCGGTCTCTGACTGTGGAGGAGACGACATGACGCCATTGAGTCAGAGTGAGAGGGATACAACGCTCTCGCCTGTAGCGCAAAGTTGGAACGAGCTGTCGAGGGTTGATCGAGAAACACTCATTCGAGAGCAGCGTGAGGACCTCTCAAATAAAGAGCTGATGAAAAGCGTAAAATTTTGTAAAAAAGAAGAATCTTTCCTTTATTTTTTTGAGAAAGCAGGGTTCCTGTATCGGAGCTACACAAATGAGCAAGGTCGCAAGTATGAGCAGCTCTTTGTGACACAAAAGTATCGTCGCCAACTATTGAAACTGGCGCATGAAAACGTGTGGGCCGGGCATCTCGGCATAAAAAAGACCAAGGCTAGAGTTTCTTTTGATTTCATTTGCCGAAATGCTGGAAGGATAACGAAGATTGCGTACGCTCATGCGACACTTGTCCGAGAGCGGTAAATCCACGGACAAGTGGAAGGCACCCATGAAGCTTGTTCCAATTATCGCAGGACCTTTTCGGTGCCTAGTAATTTATGTCGTCGGGCCATTTCAATTGTCAAGGCAAGGTTGTCGGCACATCCTGACGGCCCTCTGTGTAGCCACAAAATTTCCGGAAGTGATACTACTTAAGAAGCTTCATTCCCCTGATGTCGCGGATGCACTGGTATCTATATTTTCACGCGTTGGATTTCCTTCTGAAATTCGATGCGACATTGGTAGTGTCTTCACCAGCTGCCTTACCTCTACCTTTTTGGATAAATGTGTAATAAAAGTAGTGTATAGCTCGATCTATCATCTGCAATCTATTCCGGTAGAGCGTATGCATTCCGTTCTGAAACAGATACTGAGAGCTCTTTGCTACGAGCACAAATGCGACTGGAAAGCTTGTATTCCTCCCGCTATGTTTGCTTTGAGATCAGCTCCTCATGAGAGCACTAGTTTTAGCCCTGCAGAGCTTGTGTATTGCAGGAGTTGGAGAACACCATTGCGAATGCTGCGCGAGTCTTGGGAGGGATTTGATGACGACCCTAATGTAGTTGCGTATGTTCTCCTTCAAAGGACTTGGAAAATTGAAAGATCTTGTGGAAAGCCACATGAAGGCTGCACAAGTGTTGTCGACGGAGTACTACGACAAATGGGCGAAGAAGCGCACTTTTGAAGTAGGAAGTCAGGTAATGCTGCTGCAGCCGCCCAAAAAGAACCAGCTTGAGGTTCATTGGGAAGGGCCCGCTAAAGTAATATCGAAGCCTTCTGACACAAATTATGAAGTGAAATTAGGAAGGCGGCCAAACAAAATTTACCACAGTAACTTGATGCAACCATACGTTTAACGTAAAGCGGTCGTAAATATGCTGTTGAATGATTCAGAGGAAGGGGGAGCAGAAATTTTGAGTTCTAGTGATGTAATCGAAAGGGGATCGGAGGTAATCTTGGAGCAGTTGAACCTAGAGCCTAGGTTAAGTGAAGTCCTGAAGGGGGACATGAGAAGGATTGTTTCCGTGTTTAAAGACGTGTTTTCGGACCGTCCCGGAAGCATGACAGTGATTGAACACGATATCGAGCTAACTTGTGAGGAGCCGTTTCGTAGCAAGCCGTAGCGATCTTCCCCTGTCCGAAAGCGGATCATGAAAGAGGATATCGATAAAATGCTGAAGTTGGGAGCCATAGCCCCGGGCGCGAGTGACTATACATCTCCTCTAATATTGGTTCAAGTGTCGGGAAAAGATCCGAGGCCATACATCGATTATCGGCATCTTAACGCCACAATTCGAGACCAAACTTACTCGATACCCAACCTAGACGAGAGGATAGAAACTGTGTCACAGTCTAGCTAAATTTCCACGTTAGGCCTCGTGCGAGGGTACTAGCAAGTCCTCTTTACGGAGTGCGCTAGCCACTATGCCGCATTCGTTTTTCCATTCGGAAACGTATCGTCCACTTAGGCTGAGTTTTGGATTGAAAAATGCGCCTTTTGTTTTTCAGGCTTATTGGACTGCATTCCTAATGACCTCTTTCAGTTCTCTCTGCCGTATCTTGACGATGTCGCCATCTTCTCAAACAACTGGGAAGAATATGTCGAGCATTTACGGGTTGTGCTGAACAGATTGAAAGAAGCTGGTCTTACCGTGAAACCTACTAAAAGTCACCTTGGGTGCGGCGTAGGCCTTCATAAATTACGGTAGCCGCTTCGTGAACTATCCATGACCAACCACAAATTCTGAGATAAGGGCATTCTTGGGCCTCGCTGCATACTATCAGCATTGCGTGCAAAAGTACTCTAGCATTGCCAGTCTCTAACTGACACACTTCGCCCCACCGCGGTGGTCTAGTGGATAAGGTACTCGGCTGCTGACCCGCAGGTCGCGGGATCGAATCCCGGCTGCGGTGGCTGCATTTCCGATGAAGGCGGAAATGTTGTAGGCCCGTGTGCTCAGATTTGGGTGCACGTTAAAGAACCCCAGGTGTTTGAAATTTTGGGAGCCCTCCATTACGGCGTCTCTCATATTCATATGGTGGTTTTGGGACAATAAACCCCACATATCAATCAATCAATCAAACTGACACACTTCGAAAGTCCGAGTCGGTTAAAATAGCATGGGACTCAGAAAAAGAGAATGCGTTTTGAAAGCTCAAACAAACCATAAGCAAAAAAGCCCGTTCTCATGGCACCCGATTTGTCTAAGGGATTTGTCATTCAAACGGACGCGAGTGATCGCGGCATGGGAGCTATAGTGTGCCGGGAAGACAGTGCTGGTAACGAAATGCCAGTTTTGTATTTAAGTCGAAAACTCGGCTGCAGGGAAGAGGTATACAGCACCTCTGAAAAGGAATGCGCTTGTCTGGTGTGGGCCGTTCAAAAGCTATAGCCTATTATGTCTCCGGCTCGATGTTCGTGGTCGAAACGGACCACTGTCCTCTAACCTAATTGAAAAACATGTCGCCTAAAAGTGGCCGCTTACAGAGGTGGAGCATAATACTTCAACAGCACAACTTTAATGTTCGCTACAAAAAAAAGGAAAGTTAAACGCTAATGAACACGCATTGAGCCGTGCGTTTTAGTTAGTACCTTCTCCACTTTTCGGTTTTTCGCTGGCGATTTGGGGCCAAATTTTGTCTTCATCATGGCCTTAGCTGAGCGCTCTCATCCAGAGTGATCTCAAGGGGCCAACCTAATGTTGTATTCTATTTCATTACGTTGTTGTACGTGTAAAAATTTGAGTTCTCATTTTAAGAGGCTTGTGTCCCACATGTGTCTTTTGATGTAAAGGCAACGAAATTCCAATAGGCGCGTAGCTAGGTGTATGTTGTACTATACTTTGTCTGGTGTTCCGTCGGGTGACGGAAGGCACTTTCCTGTGTCGTGGTTGTCTGTCGTCAAACCGTTTTTGACAAGTTTCAGAACCATCGACAAGTGCTGAGACCAAAAATTGTCAGAAGAGACAAGTGAAGCTGGCCGGCAAGTTGTGGTGACAAGCCAGTGTAGCCGGGATCCGTCCTCAAGAAATGAATGTGTTCACGGAACTCAGCCTAGAGCTACTTTCTTTTCATGGATCTGGAGGCACACCTGAAGGGACCTGGCAAACGAGCGCACCCGACATCCGAGCCTCGTGGAAGCAGCTCATCTTTCCGGTGAATTGCCTGGCGGTGGGCGTGCGGTTACGCCTGGGAGTCCCCACTGAACGTCAATGCCTCTGCAAGGGTCAAGGCCCGGGCCCACCTGACGCGATCAACTCAACGACGTCATCAAGCGGCGGCATCGGTCTCTCACACAAAGCACAGCGAGCTCCCTCAACCCACGAGCCCGATGAAGAAATCGGCGCCTTCCTGTCTGGCGAGTCTTGCGCAATGCGTGGCAACATCCCTCGTCCTTGGGAGAAACCACGTGCAGCGGCGGGTCCCCATTGGAGGATTCTGACATCACGGCCACCGGCGCTTCTGTTTGGACGTTTGGTGACTCAAAGATCGACCCGGTGCATATAAAAAAGCTTTGCGGCGTGTCACTAGTAGTAGACCTATGTGTAAGAGAAGCCTCTCGTTTCTTCGAGCCATTTCGCTGTCAGTCCGGCCGGTGTCCTTGTAAGCGGCGGGCTTCGTGGCGCCCTTCGTAACCTCGTCGGCGGTGCGCTTCGTAGCAGCTGTCGGCTCCAGTGCCGAATATGTCACGGCTCTATTTCTGTTCCGTACATAAACCCTGACTTAACTCACCGTCGCCTCGTCCACTCGTCTATCAGCTCTGCGCAGAATCAGTCGCAAGCTGAGCAACACACGCTGCCAAACGGCTGGTGAACTTGTCGGCGGTGTTCGGAGCATTGGTGCCTTCGGGACCATGTTGGCGTCGCGGCTTCGTAACAAGGTTCTGCCCTAAAAAAGGACTTTCAGCACCACTTGAGAAATCGTACCATTTTCTAGATATCGGACGGCTGTGTGTGAGTCACTGATGATATACTGGGCATCAGTGTGAGCTATGGCGAGCGCGATAGCCACCTCCTCTGCCCTATCCACGAGATTCGTATTAATTGAAGCACTGGTTTGGCACTTGTGCGTATGGTCTACAACCACAGCAACAAAAATTGGGGGACCCTTAAACTTCACCTTTGAGTGTTGAAAGCGATAGCAAAACCCGGCCCCGAGTGCACCCTTCAACCGCTAAGTGCCTTCTTATTATTATGTTTTTACATACACACGCACGCACAAAAATAAACACACAGTAGATTGAACCAGCGCGCGCTTTTATTGCCGAATGGGCTCGTTTTCGTCTTGACACCTGTCGAACAAATTGCGTTGAAGGGGCCCAGAAACACTTTTTCAAGTAACCATCGCACGAATTCACTAGAAGAGTTTATTGCCTCACGAATTCGGACGCCGAAATACTTCAAGAATCTGTCCAGTGCGATTGGAGTTACAAAGGTTTGTCGCAAGCTGCAATTTCATTATCTCTTCTCTCGTCCTGACGACAGCGCTGGAAGCTTAGCAGGGATGGGTGGCAGGGAAAAAAAACCACCACGCCTCGTGACCTTGAGCACTTTTTTTTTTGCTTCGAACGCACGGTTTTTTCAGTGTGATTGCGTGCGCACGCGTGGACAGGTAGCGGCCTCCCGCAGCTATCTCTGTAACTTGATTTTTCGGTCACAGACGCACAGACAATTTTTCGCTCACAACCAACGGGGCCGACACTGGCGGTGGGTTTTCTGCGACGTGAGATCTCAAACACTATCGCCTTAAAACGGCAATAAATTCGATAGTGCATTGCATTAACGAAGACTGCCTCATCATATGTTCGGAGCATAACTTTTGATCTACTGATTATTCTACCTTTGTGGTGCTCAGGTTGAATGTTCCTTGGCGAAGGTGGTACTATGAGTTTAGTGCAGATTTCGCGTGGTATGTCGTATCTGATACCATGCTCTGCGTGGTAGTGTATGTTTGTGGCTATGTTAATTTCTCTGGATATCATCGATTCTGTTTTCTTTGGTGCTTAATCAATTGATGGACTCACTGCGCGATTGCATCCGCCAGCTTCTTTTTTGTGCCACCTGAAAAAACTCTCGTCAATCACGCCGAAAACATAGTAAAGGCCGTGAAAAATTACTTTCTGCTAAACTTGCTCAAAACTCTCAGCGGGATAAATAATTGCTAGCCTTAATTACTACGTCCAGAAACTCGGTTATTCAGAGAGTTACTTTTCACCTCGATTTATAGGTAGAGACAAAAATCCAAAAAATGAAATGCCCTTGAGGACAAGCACTTCATCCCCGTTTTTGGGCTATTTCACGGTACTTTTGTTTATTGTGCAGTGCTTACTTCAATCACTTAGTTCGTGCCTTTATTGTAGGATGTTGCTCGAGAAGTTTGAATTATGGAATACTACAATACAATCAATAAAGTTGAAAGTGGCTTGTTCGCGTCAGTGAAGCTTTCGCATATGGCTGCATTCTGTATAACGGGTACCATGCTTTGAACAATACGTAATTATGCGCATGTAATATTTTCAAACTTCATATGCACTGATTACAAGATCATAAGTGAATATGCGCAGTATCCCGCATGTCTTTCGCTATGGGTGGCCGGCTTTAAACCACCAGGTAGTTAGGATAATCACATGTTCTCTCATCCTTAGGCAATGTAGACTTGTAAAACGCAATTTTTTTGATATCACATGTCGTATTGTGACGCCTGTATACAGGACGTATGTGTTTCTAAAGCATCAACTTCATTTCGTTGTACTTCTAAGCAGGCGCGTGCCTGTGCAGTAGAACAGCCTGGCTTCGGTACTCACTCGGACTAGAAGATCTTTTCTATTTATTTGATTTGCATCTTCATTTTTGAGTTACGCATGTCACGTTTTTCCCCTCATTACCAACGACACTAACACCGACACCTCAATTTCTGCGAAACAAGCTCGTTGACGTAAAAGTCACTGTCTCTACAACCACGCTTGGGGTAACGCATTATGCAACACTTGAAATAACGCTCAACTACTTCCAATATTTGTTCAAACATTTGAAATAAGCACACGTTACGTGTGCAAAATGCTGTCACATTCGACGATGCCACATGTGGCAGTGCTACAAGCCGCGTGTGCGACGCAAACTCCGAGAAACAATCTCTACTACTCTGTGGACTTTTTCGGCCACTCTAGTGACGTGTGTGATGTCACGAAGAGCAATCTGTGATGCAGAGTGAAAGTCATGCTGCGATCGGACGAAAAAGAACCTATCACATCAGGTTAGCCTGCAAAAAGCTGCTCGCTCTCCTTCTGGTATTGTTGTTCGTCGGGGTACGGTAGCGGTGGCTCCACGTGCCACGTGAAGGTGCTCCGCGGTACGGCGCTTCACCGTACGGATCCGTCATTTTTTCGATCCTTTCAATACATGCGTGCATTACAGGGTCTGTACCAGCACTATTCGTAAGAGAACGAACCGGCACGGCAACAGGGATTAGTCAACAAGCACGAAGTTACGGACTTGCAGCAACCGGATGCACACGGTGTTTCGAACAGAGCGTCAGCTATGACATATGCCACGCGAGATTCAGAGGGACACTCGGCGAAAAAGGCAAAGCGGCGAAAAGAGCCATCACAGTGCTTCTACCATCAAACACACCTAACTCTGCTATCATGGCCCCATTTCAAAAAATTGTGACGGCTACACGGTCATTGCAGGTTCGTGCGCCACTTCGCCTCCACTATTACAGTTAGACATCCAGCTTGATTATTACTATAGTATTCGCTTCATTATAAGCTTCAAAGTTTGATAAATATGCATACTCTAATTCATCTGCAAAAATTATTCTCTGACTAAAAGTACGCCCCTATTTAAAGCACCCAAACATTATTAGCGTGCACGTAGCATGCGCTATACAAGGATTGGTCTGTAGAGGTGGAGCGATTTGTAGTGGGCAGCATTGAACTTTCCACACGTTACGCCATTCACATTCATGCCGCTAAGTACTACGTGACTCCTCGCCCGACACGACGCCTGCTCTGGCGGATGTTGAAACTCCTTCGGTTTTTTACAAAGGAGTTTTAATCGCGTCTGTGGCTGTGATGTGAAATAATTTACTGCCGCTCAGAGCACGTGCTCCAACAATATTTTTTGCATCCATCGCAGTTTTTCGCTCATGTACAACGCCGCCGCGTGGACAGCAAACCTGCTTTCTCTTCAGCAAGGATTCTTTGACTGTTGCGATACATATACCATCGTCATAACATATACCACCTTAGTCGGAGTGCAGCCGTTGTAGCCACCTGTTTCAATCAACGGTCAGCAATGAAAGAACAGGCATATCGATATACTGTTATATATTGTGTTCAGCTACAAGTTAGCTCATATCAGTCGTTAGAACGTACGTACACTCTAAGGACAAAAGGGTGTATAAAGGGTGTGTGGTTCGTCCATTTGGGGACCAATGGGGCTGCCACAACCAATATTCTCTGTAAGGACTAACGGCACCGGGTCTGACAGTTAGTCCACGCAGATGAGCGCAGGGGACTAACATTTACTCCTTACATTTACACCTTAATGAGTAATCGTTAGTCCCACAATTCACCTCAAAAGACTAACATTTAATCCTCACATTTGCACCTTATTGAGCAACTGTTAATACCGACATTTACACCTTTCCGGGCAACCGTTACTCCTCACAGTTTCACTTTGCCGGACGAACGGTTGATCCACTCAAGTACTCCAATCAGATGGACTTTTTGTCCCCAGTTCACAGATTGTTTTTTTTTTGTTTATTTTCCGTCAGGCCCTATACTTTTTTCGCCTGAAAAGAACACGCAAAACAGTAGTTAGCCACCTATTTGTAACTGCTTTCGCAGTCATGGCAACGAAAGGCAAAAGTGAGACATCGAAATATTTTATTTTTCTACATACACATGAAGCTTCTCCGTTCTTTTAAGTAAATTCACGGTGAAGTGTACAATCCCAGAATCGTTGTCAGATCTTGTTCACTCCTTGGGGAGCTCTTCCGACGGAAGTGATAGATGACAGGCATTGCAGACGCCAGCGCACGCAGCCTTCCGCCTGTTGCGTTCCTACGGCTGTGCGTACAATAAGATAGAAAAATAAGTAGACACACGTGACAGAAGATGAAAATGCTCGCATATGACAAGTGCGTGCACGTTAATATAAAAACATGCGTGTAGATATGACACACAAATAGCTTTACTTTAACATCTCGTGCAGACCTTCTGAAGCTGCTCTGAAAAAAGAGATGGATGACAGGCATTGCAGACGCCAGCGCACACAGTCTTCAGCGTGGTGTGTGCCCACGGCTGCACACTAATTATGTAAAATAGTGAGTCACACGTGACAGAGGATGAATACAAATGCATATTAGAAATACGTGCAAGGTGAAATGAAAACATACGTGAGATATGACATGCTAAAAATTTCACCGCGATGTCACACATCGTCAAAGACTCATTTCGATCCCTATAGCGCAACAGCTCAGGGGCCGCAGCCACAACGCTGCGATGAACCGTGCAGCCAACAAGTCGGCGAGTCCTAAGCGAGCGACGTCGTTCAGCTCGAGCAAGCGAACGCGAGACCAAGCACGGCGCTGCGCGCGGAATGTCTGCCGCCAGCGAACTTCGAACAGGAGAGCGAGCGTACGCTTGGCCGCCGCCACGAACAGCGGCGAGCTGGTTTGGGGCTAGCGCTGAAGAAATCGACCTTAATGCGGCACTTTTCAACAAACTCGAGCGAGTGCAGCGCGCAAACGCAAGTCCGCCTCCGCGGCCAGCGGAGAGCTCCGAGCTGCTTGCAACCGACTGGCAGGAAAGCCAACTGTAATGGCGACCAATTTTCAGTGAGTTCCAACGCTAGCGAAAGCTCCGCCAGCCCGTGCTGGTGCACTTACAGCGCGCGACACACTACAACCAAGCTCTTTACGAGAACCCGCAACGTGTTTTCCACGACTCCCAACACAGCGACAAGGTCTCAGCCCAATATCATCGGCCCGGAGCTCATCACAGCGGTGAAGACACGCGAGCACTCGACGAGCGAGCGTACGGGAGGCCGACAGCAATGGCGGCCAATTTCCAGGTAGTCGCAAAGCATAGGCGAACTGCAGACGCCGAAGCTGCCCTTCGCGATGCATTTCGTGCGTGCGATATACAACACGACCGAGCCCGTTGCCGGCAAGCGCGATCCGTATCGCACACGTGACAAGTAGAGTAGAATAAAGAATGATAGCCTACTTGCCTTAGAATCCAGCGCTGTTTTCCGCCCTGAGTCGGACTGAAGTATATATCACATAGGCCTGTCGATTCTCTGCCGCCATATTGGCCTTCCTAACTGTTGCTGTCGTGTGTCGGTCGTGACAATCTCGAAGCCAAAGATATACAGTGCAGCGTGGTGACGTGTCGATACTTGCTCCAGATTTCATGGGTGCAGCGAAACGCAAAAGCAGCAGCCCACGCTCATCCAAGCGTACACACAAGCACCACGCCGTAATTCCTAAATCGTCAAATCCATGCAGCTGTGGTCGATCACTCCGAGCACGACGCAACGCAAACCGTCGCCGGAAAAATACGGGAAAGACCAGCAGCGGAGGAGAGCAGAGGAGCCAGCAGAGGAAGAGAGGGAGGCCTGGTCACCTTGGCAACGCTTTTCGCGCTGATTGCAATGCCCGGGCGGTTCATCCCTTGGTTTCGCGCGATACGCTTCCCTCTGTGGTTGCTCCTCAACAGTCTATCCGTTAACCGCGCGCATCCTTTTTCGGGTATTTTGCCTTAGAGTGTAGAGTGCTGTGTAGATATTCTGCGCTGTTTTTAATTACCAGAAAGCAAAAGGAAAATACGTACGCTGAGATGAGGATGACCAAGTCAGCTTCCTTATGCGGTTTCGTTTTTGCGACATAGCTTGTTAGCTTTACTACCGTTTCCATCGCTGCCAGAACTCCTCTTGATGTGAAGTTGACATATTCGACGTCTTCCTGCAAATATTTTGAGTTATGTGAGACCAGCGGTGGACACAACATTTGTAGGCGCTAAAGGCGCCTGTCCTGTTTCCTTCGTTCGTCTTATACGTACGTGCCTCTCACGTTTACAAAAGTTATGAATAAGTACCATCAAGCCCGAACCGAGTGTCTTCTAAGCGGTGGATAAATGGCGTGAGAAAAAAGTCTGCCTGGCGGGTATAGTCGGGATATAACTCAGCTGCACGCGCCCAGACGACCAGCTTCAGTCGGTTGCGGTGAGCACGCGCGCGTGCGCCGTTCGCCTGCTTGATCTTGACCCAAACACCGCGAGCAGCAATTGCGGCAGTAGTACTCCTTTATAGTTTATACAAAGATAAGTTTGTCTTAAGGCAACTTTTCCAGGAAAGCACTGAGAAACGAAGAGAACCTTTGCAAAGCGAAATGATTACGTCTATGCACACGACGTCGAACACAGTGCTATGCGATGTTGGCGATTCCTTCGTTATCATTTTCCGGCAACGTGCTGATATTTGTGTTAAGCCGGTGCAGGCTAGTAAGCTTCCATTCATAACTTCATGCTGCGTTCATACCACGCTGTCGACATCTGCAGAAAAGAGCACTAGAGGCAATGGGTAGTTGCGTAAGTAGTTTTTTTTTTGTCTGCCATGGTATGCCCAGTCCAAGGTAAGTATGAACGTGGACGTTGATCAAGCAAACCACCGTAATATCATAGCACGTACGGTGTCGCATTGATACTCTCGAGGGTGCCGAATAGATTGCCGGTCTCGGCTACCACATTCTAGATTAAAACGAAATACATAGATAACCCGCGTACTTAGCTTTAAGTGCAAAATAACCGTTTCCAGTTTATCTTCGGTTTCAAGAGCGTCACACAAAGGAGCGTCGCTAAACACTTCAAATGCCACCTCAGCGTGACAGCAGTCGATGACGGTCTTATTAGCGGAGATAAAGTCCCAGCCCAAAATGAGGTCAAGGGAGCAGTAATCCAACACTACAATTCGACAACATAGATGAGGCCGTCAATCGCAATGTGAGCAGTACAAGCAGCGGCTGGCGTGACGCACTTTGCGCTTGCTATACGAAGCAATATACTTCCTAGTAACGTCATTACTTTTTTGAGCAAGCGGAAGAGTCTGGCACTAATCACTGAAACTGCGGCACCACTGTCGACAAGAACGAGTGCAGCGACGCGGTCCACACATACGTAGAGAACATTCGTCGGTGAATAGACACCTTGGTCTTTTCGCGGGTGACGCAGTTCCTGCCTCTGGAGTGCGGCCATTAGTTTTCCCGCTTGGGTGATGAAGGATGACGACGCATCGGTGATGGCGAGCGATGGTTAACAGGAGGGTGGTGGTCGGCGTAAGATGACATCTGATTGATTGATTGATATGTGGGGTTTAACGTCCCAAAGCCACTGTATGATTATGAGAGACGCCGTAGTGGAGGGCTCCGGAAATTTATACCACCTGGGGTTCTTTAACGTGCACCCAAATCTGAGCACACGGGCCTACAACATTTCCGCCTCCATCGGAAATGCAGCCGCCGCAGCCGGGATACGAACCCCCGCCCTGCGGGTCAGCAGCCGAGTACCTTAGCCACTAGACCACCGCGGCGGGGCAAGATGACATCTGGTCGGGGTGCTAAGAGCCTGCGAACGAAAGGCGCGGTGACACATAAGGGGCAGGTTCGAAGCTTTGGTGGTAGTTCTGGTGATAGGCAGGGACACGCCGATGGCAGTATCACGCTATGTGGCCAGGCAGGCCACAGGCAAAGCATATTGGTCGATTTTCGGGTGTACGCCATTGTCCACTACTCTGGAGGGACCTTGGCTGAGCGAACCGAGGAGTGGGCACGGCTGATGGTAGTGACCTAAAAGTCTGAAAAGGAGGCTTTGCGGCAACCTCAGCATAGCTTAGAGGTGCGTTCACCTCGGCACAGGCCACAGGGGTCGGGAACGGCGAAGTGTTGCAGGCAGATGGCAAAGCCACGCAAACTAGCTCTTGGATGACCTCAAGAATGTTTGCTGGCAGATATTATGGTCGCTGGCTGGCTGTTGATAGCAGCGACAGCTGACGAGCGACCTCAGCGCAAACAAACTCCTTGATCTGCAATAGCAGTGAGTGAAGGTCAGAAATAGTTGTGAAGCTTGAGAGGGTGTCATCCGGGACGTTAGGGCGTCGCGTGAGAAGACGCTGTCGTCAGAGCTCGTCAAAACTCTGACACAGCTCGACGAGCTTCGAGAAAGTGGCAGGGTTTTTCGAAAGTAGCATTGGGAAGGCGTCGTCGCAAATGCTTTTCATAATGCGTCGTACCTTGTCAGTTTCCACCATCGTCAGATCAACACGCCGGCAGAGGTCGAGGATGTCCTCGATGTAGCTGGTGAATGTCTCATCAGTTTGTTGCGACCGGCTTCGTAGGCGTTGTTCTGTGCGTAGTTTGCGCACCCCAGGGCGTCCAAAAACAGCTGCAATGCAGGTCTTGAAGGTCGTCCAAGTTGAAATGTTCGCCTCGTAGTTTCTGTACTAGAACTTGGTGACATCCGTTAAATAAAACCTCACGGTACCGAGTTACATGGCATTATCCTATTTGTTGGTAGCAATGGCTCGTTCATAGTATTCCAGCCAATCCTCAATGTCTTCTTTCTCGTTTATGCCGCTGAAGATGTCGGGTTCTCACAGGAGCTGGGCACCGGGACAGCCCCTGGGTGGCAAAGCCCGGGAGGGGGGGGGGGGTGAAGACAACGTCGTCAGGCATGACGGACGGCAGCTTTCGTCTAAGCAATTGCAGGGTCGGAGGAAACGAAAATATAATGTAAATGCAAGGCGAAAAGCGGTAGCAGCGCTGGGACAGAGGCAGCAAGAGCTGGCCGGGTATACGGGCGTCGTTGCAGCAGCAACCAGGCAGTCCTAGCTCACGCCATCGCGTCGATGTCGCTGCAGTAGTGGGCATTCCTCTTCACTACACGTTATCAACTAGCAATGCTTCGACGGCTTGGATAGGAAAATACGTCTTCTGTCATTCACAAGTTCACGAGGTGTGCTGTGGCGCAGGACGAAGTTGCGTAGGATGAGAAACACAACTTTTCCGGCTGTTGCTGTCGGCGATGCTGCCGATTGTGCATAACGCGTAAGGTGGTCTACGCCGACGATGATTCATCTGTTCTTCGAAGCGAATGAGGGAAGCAGGCTGTACAAATCAGTGCCCAAGTGGTCAAATGAACCCACCGGAAATGAGAGAGGTTGAAATGTACCGTCAACCCGTTGAGCGGCAGCCTTTCATCGCTGACTGGCAGTACAAGCGCACATGTATTTGCACACTTGAGATTACATTCCGCGCCAATAGTACTTCTGACGCACGCGGGTGTAGGTCTTGAGAATTCCAGCGTGAGCGCTTTGTGGGTCGGGATGGAAAGCAGCACACATTTGCACGCGCATAAGGCGCCACCTCCAGCCGTGAGATGCGTGATTCCGCCGATAGAGGAGGCCATCTCGAGTGGCAAAACGGAATGCTTCACGACGTATAGATCTGGAAACGGAGTATGCTGATGAATCCACCAAAATTTTGCACAGGTCGCTAACCTAAGAATGTTTGCGTTGCTTCTCTGACATGTCGGTGACGTCGACTGGCGGCAAAGAAACATATGGTGAAGGCACGGTGGATGCTAGTTGTGACTGGGAAAGAGCATTCGTGTCTGAGTGCGTGCGGCCTGATTAGTGCACAACACGAACGTCGTTTTCTTGCAGCCTGAGCGCCTAGTGACTGATTCGTTCCATCGGATCTTTCAACCGCAAGAGCCAACACAGAGCGTGGTGATCCGTGAAGATGTCTAAATGGTAGTCATAAAGGAACGGACGCAACTTGACCAAAGCCCACATTATGGCGAGGCATTGTTTTTTCGTGACAGACAAAGTGCACTCGGCTTTCTTCAGAGTTCGACTCGCGTAAGCGAAGTCGTATTCTTTGTATCCCGGCTTTTTTTGAGCCAACATGGCACGAAGGCCGACACCACTGGCGTCAGTGCGAATTTCCGTGGGCGCATCCAGGTCAAAGTCTCAGAGTATCGGAGCGATGTCAGCAAGCGCCGTCAAAGTGGGGATGCGGCCTAGTAGGTTTCATTCACTTGCATTTTACTTGTATAGCGCAAAACGAAAAGAAACGGAGACACAGACCGAACACAAACTGGGCGAGTGCTAGACATCAACTGACTTTTTATTGAAAAGGCCAAAAGCCGTCGGACATAAGCGCATGCACACAATCACACTCGATGTGCTTTCTTGTGTCAGTCACTTCATGGGTTACCATTCTGCATGCATAAGATTTACTCTCAAATACTCTATATTTTCTGGATGGAGGCAGAAATGTTGTAGGCCCGTGTGCTCAGATTTGGGTGCCCGTTAAAGAACCCCAGGTGGTCGAAATTTCCAGAGCCCTCAACTACGGCCTCTCTCATAATCATATGGTGGTTTTGGGACGTTAAACTCTACATATCAAACAATCAATCAATCTACATTTTCTGGACAAGGCAACCGACGCCACACTGTCACATTTTCTCTCATTCTTACTGGTAGCGAACGCTTCCATAATCTCTCGCGTTGCCTTCGGCTTGCTTTTTCTTAGAACACCTGTATTGGCAAAATCAAGAGTACAGCCAGACCAGCTTCATTGATCCGCCAAATGACCCCCCCCCCCCCTCTGCCTGCGCGTCAACTTACGAACAGGTTCTCTCGCAATCTGTCATTAGGACACCGCCTGCTTTGTCCTATATAGCACCTGCCACATGAAAAAGGTAGCTTAGTACACCTCCTCGAGAGGGTGGGCTTTACCAATAAACTCATCAGTTCTGGGGCTGAAACCCTTCTAAAGGAGGTGAGGACTGGAGTGGGTACTCATGGAAGGTCCTCTGGCAAGCCAAGGGGAGACATGTAGCCTTGCCATGCATCCATCACTTCTCCCACTGGCTAAAAAAAGTGGCAGCAATATGAGGTGTGTCG